AACGAACTGCTGCACACACACACACACAATGAACTGGTACACACACACATTAGTTATAATCACAGAGTACAGAGGCTCTGATGTACAAACACACAGAACCGTCGATTCATTCACATTTAAACTCTTTGGATCCTGATCGTCTTCTAATTAAACTTTGTAATAATTAGACTGAATGTTGCTCAACATGATGATGAAACATGAATGATTTTTTTTTATTCTACTGGAGAAACAATTCTCAAACAAAAAAATCCATCTTGGTTTTTGACCGTCGCCATCTTGTTTTAATGGAACCAAGAGTGATGCTAAAGCATCCCCTGCTTTATGGTCTGTTTGACTCTAAATGGACCATAATGTACTAAATGAACATCATGCTGTATTGAAGAAGACTTAAACTAGAGATTGAGACCATAAACTCATGTTTACAATGTTTACTGAGGTAATAAATCAAGAGAGAAGTAGAGTCATTTTCTCATAGACTTCTATACAACCAGAGGAGTCGCCCCCTGGTGGACACTAGAGAGAATGCAGCTTTAACACATGAAGCAATCTAACGCACACACACAAACACACACACAATGTCTCCCTCCCCGCCCCCCCCCCCCCCCCCCCCCCCCCCCCCCCCCGTCACCTGTGCCCAGGTGTAAGACGTCGTAAGGTCCGTCCTCGGCGTCCACCCTGTCCACCACCACCCTCTTCAGCATGTAGGGCGCGTTGACCCGGGTCAGGATGGGTCGGCCGCCCAGAGGCAGGACGGGCTCCCACATCAGCTGGTGCTGCCGCATGAAGCTCACCACCTCGTCTGGGAAGTCCTTGGTGGACTTGTGGAGAGCGTCGTACGTCTCGCTGGGACACTGAAATATTATGAGCGTTCACACTGTTCAGCAGCTCGCTGTGTGTTCTCAGAGTTACAACCAAAAGAATTCACTCTAAACTCTGAACTCTAGGTCTGTTGGTTTTTACAGGATTTGGTAGAAGAGTGTGTTTCCTGTCGGCTGTGGTTGTGAGGATACTTTGGTGTCTGTGTGTGAACTCACGGTGCCGGGTCTCGGGTAGGGGATGCGGCCTTTGTACTCCACCCAGCGGTAGTCGGGACCTTCTTTGTGGGCAAACGGCCCGTTGAAAGCAGCTCGGATGGACGCCATCGAGTACACGCACACCGCCGAACCTGGAAATATAGAGCTGGAGGAGGAGGAGGGAGAGAGGATGAAGACTCAGATTAACCCTCTGATGGAAAAGCATGTTTTCTTTAAACTAATCTCCAAAACTACGTCATCTATCCTCGCCAGAAGCTGTATTCTATCTGCTGCATATGACTTTCATCTTCCCGACGGTCCTCGAACACATCATGTGCAACGAGCGCTTCCAACTAAAACATTTTATTCTTCATGTTCTCATTATAAACCTCTCCTCTAATAAAGAGTTCACTTTAACCACATTCTGTTAAAAACATTAAGTTGTGAGCTCCTCAGTGAAACTATGAAGTTATGATTGATTCATCTGAGAACAGTCATGTGACAACAAGGAGGAGACACTTTGACTTTGATAAAACAGTACAGCAAGGAAGGATGAAATAGGAGGGAAGGAAGGAAGGATGGGAGGAGATGAGGGAGTGTTTTATTACATCAGGGTTACAATAACACCACCAGCTGAGCCTCTTCACCTTTCACCCCGACACCCACCATCTGACCTCTGATCCTCCACGCCACGGGGCGTGCACGTGGCGGCCTCGCTAAGAGCGTGCACGTGAGGGAGGAAGAGGAGGACTAAGTAGTTTAGTTGTCTAAACCTAACTAAGTAGTTTCCTGTAAAGACGGAGGTTTATTTTGAAAAGACCGTATTCATGTAACGAGCAGAAAATGACACGTGTTGCTGCTTTCGTTGAAAAACGCACAAGAACAGGAGGAGTAACTTTTTGTGAGACATTATAAGAACCGTTGCATGAGGAAACGGTCATACAGGTACGATTGTGCAGCCGGATGAATCTCACCTGGACGTACTGAAGACGCCGTAGACGGTCGGGTTTTGAGGGTCCTTCGTCTCCAGAACAAAGATGTCCTCTAGAAAACACAGTGACAGCTTTCATTCATTGTAATATGAATCTGTTACATGCAGGTCAGATTCATTATTATTCAGTCAACAGTAGTTCTTAGTGTTCCTGAATATATATATATATATATATATAAAAACTTTGTTGTCGTCTTTTCCAAAGTTGAGGAAGAGGACGATGAAGTCCAAATAAAACAGCAGGATCATGAAAATCAAAAGGAGTTCAATGAGGAAACGAGGATGAAAGAAGAGGCAGCGAGGAACAAAGGAAGGAAGGAGAAGGAGTTACCGAGCTCATCGAACTGTGTGTCGACTCCAGACGGACCGGGGACGGAACAGACCAGTCTGGCTTTGAGGAAGGTGGTCCAGCGGTTGATCAGACTCCTCTTCCCTCCGACGTCATTCTGGATCAAAGAGAGAAAAGAGAAGGTGAAGATGAAGAAAAGGTGGAGGACAATGGCTGCATGGTAACATCTCCTGCACCGCTCAGCAGGTTAAAAGATCCTGTTGAACAAAAGGTTGCTCAGACATTATTACTGTGGACACGCTGAGGTCTGGTGTCTCTTTTCTGACTTCCAGCAGAGACACACGTGTCTTCGCACCTTGCAGACTCGAGCCACCCGGCTGTAAACCCTCTTGTCCGTGTGTCCGGCCTCCGCCGCCCGCTCCCTGAAGAAGAAGTAGAGCTTGTCGTCGTCCGGACTGTGAGTGTCGGGGATGGAGAAGGAGCCCACGAAGTCGGGCTCTGAGAGGAGAGACAATGTTCGACTGTGTGAGGATGCGATGATCAGAGGATTATAAGAGAGGAAGAACAAGAGTAAAAGGAAGACAGAAACACATGTTTGAACAAAAACAAAAACGTCAAAAGCTGAACTTTAGATGAAGGAGTTTCTCACCGTTGAGCCAGTTGTGTTCGTACGCTTCAGTCCGGATGTAATGCTGACTGCTGCCCTGCACCGGAGTCCGGAAGATCGCAGCGTTGGCCCCCATGAAATCTACTGAGGTTCCTGCATACAGTTCACCATCTAGAGAGGAAGAGAAGGAGAGAGAGAGAGAGAGAGAGGAAGAGAAGGAGAGAGAGAGAGGAAGAGAAGGAGAGAGAGAGAGGAAAGAAGGAGAGAGAGAGAGAGAGAGAGAGGAAGAGAAGAAAGAGAGAGAGAGAGAGAGAGAGAGAGAGAGAGGAAAGAAGGAGAGAGAGAGAGAGGAAGAGAAGAAGGAGAGAGAGAGAGGAAAGAAGGAGAGAAAATAAATAAATGGAGAAAGAGAATTAATGAAAGTGGTTTCATTAAAGTGATGCAACATTCATCATGATAATGTGTCTCATTTCATGCTTTAGTCCACAATGTTCTTCTCTAACGCTCCACAGTAAACACAACTAAATGATCAGATCTTCATTTCTTTCATTAGATCTCATTATTAAATGAAAGAGCTGACTTCATGGGGCCTCTGTGTAAAAGATGTGTATATGTCTGTAGAGTGTGTGTGTGAGTGTGTGTGTGTGTGTGTGTGTGTG